ATCTTAGTTTGTTACGATTACCTCTCTAAAAAATGAAAAATATAAAGAAAATCTATCAAACGAGGCGCCGCACTTATTTCTGGCAGCGGGCCAATAATTCGGAACACTCGTCCGCAAGCGCCGTTTTTCGATCGCATGCACGTACAAACTAGGATTGGAATGGGGCTCTATTTGGGATATTGGGGATGTTTTTTCTGCTTTTTTCTTCACTGTTGGTTTACTCTGAACCTTGTCCTCTTTATGCGATGCCCGAAATACACTATCTAAGATGGCAAATGAGCGCGGATTTTGCCTTTAAGAATTCTTTGCACTCGCTGCTAAGGATATCGGTTAAGCAAAAGAAAAACCTCTGACTCGTTCTGTTTCTCTTCTCGTTGATATTCAAATTAATAATGAAAACCAGACTTCTGAAATTCGTTCATTTCTTTCGCTTTCTGATTTGTGAAAGAAATCGTAAAAGGAGTAGATTTTTATTGAACTGTATAAGGTTTAACGTCACTTTTGTGTTAGTCGGAAGGAACTGGAAAATAAAATTATTTATATTGATGAAAGTGTTTTTATGCTAATATTACTCATCAAAGTACGTCAGCGTAACTTATGACGACCTTCCGTCGTGTCTGAAGGAGGTACTTCAATTTAACGTGTTAACGATCATGGATCAAAACTGAAGAAATGATTACGACTGTATGAACTAAGACGACCATGGATCGAAAAGAGTGGAATATGTAAATGTGTTATGGTCATTGTTATGAAGTAGTTATGGTGAGATGATAACTATATTATACATTTCTGGTAGCATGAGAATTTCATAATAAAAATCGCCAACATTGAATTTTGGTTGCTTTTTTTGTCAAATTCCTATTTTGTTATTTTTGTTGCGTGTCCATTTGATAGTTCTGAACACTCACTATGTTTGTTTTTAGCCTTTTTCAGGTACTAACATCACACAGCGTCTGGTGTCCCTCGAGCTGCTACAAGGCGGGAGTATGCTTAAGAAGTAGTACTTCGATGTATTGCTTATAGTTTGAAATTGCGTATCATTACGCTATTCTATAAAGCAGTAACTTTGTGTGTCGGTTGTCGGTATGTATGTATGTATGTATGTATGTATGTATGTATGTATGAATGTATGTATACTCGAAATCCCTGAGATCGGGTAGGCGTGGCTGCATGCTTCAACTTAACCTGAAGGTGTCTATGCTTCTGGTGAGATATTTTCATCTTGACACAATTGTTGTCGTGTCTCTGTCCAACACAGAACAAGATGACAGTTGTCCCAGACTGGAATATTCCACGAGTAACCAGTTCCGTGCCATGTTCAAATGCCACGCCTACTCTGGCTCAGGGATAAGGAGTGTATGTGCATGTATGTCCGTCAGCAGAATGCTTCACGGGATTAAACACGCAATTGTAAACAGAGAAAGACCGCAAGCCATTCTGAAAAACAGTTGGTACAGATGTATTGATCCCATGTTTTCATTGTGATGACAGCACGCAGCACATGGAGGGAATAGGGTGGGTTAGCGGGGGTGCATGTGGGAGTTTGAAATGTAATTTAACAGAAGCGCGGAAACTGTGGAACAACTGTGGAAACAAATGCTAGTGAAAGCGATAAGAACAAGATATCAGGGTCAACTGCTAGCGGGTTTTCGAACTAATCCATGTAATGGTATCAATTGAGGTATTCCTCTGAACGTTATAAAGCCGTCCACCATTAAGAATATAACTTATATTTGGTCCCCTACTGAGGTGAGCGCTGTGGAGGCACGCAACAAAAAAAAACGCGCGAAGGACCATTGTCTGATAGTTTCAAGGAAAACAGTGGCATCACTGTCACATTTGATATGTGATGTTATATGAACACCCCTGTAACATCACGACAAGTTGCTTGACTCTGGGTTAAAAAGGTGAAATGCTTGCAGTTCATCATCCTATCAGAAATTGCTTACAGTTAGAAAATTACACACAATTTGTACATACCTTACGTGCATTACATAATTTAAATTAAGACATTTGCTATCACTTGTATGTGTTTCACAAACAATATGTGTGTTGAAATCTCGCATCACGATAGTATTTTATTTCGTACTGTAGTTCATCCTAATTTTTTGTGCAAACACGTACACTGCTTTCCAGAAAACATACATACCTATTCGATAGTCCAACAGTAGGTGGATGTTAATGGTTAAATTAATACATATACCTATATGACATATCAAATTATTAGAATGTTTTTTGATTAATATTACTACTTATGTATGGTTATGACCACTAGGATTTCATATTCGCTTACCTGTGTGGCAGCACTAGACAACAGCTAGATCGTCGACTGTTAACTCAATAGGTCAATCAACTTGAATGTAGTCACAACTCATGCGCGTTGACACATGTTCAAATGCCGCTGTATGAAACAACCACCATTAGACCAAGTCTAATATAGTACAGTGTAAGGTATTGTAGTCTCTTGATGTATTAAGACAAATTTTTCGTTAGACTCACAGTTAATTGTTGATTATTATATCCGCGGTCAATATAAGAATGTAGTTCAAGTGACGGTAACTATTTTTCAAAAAGAAAAACGAAGGAATGACTTCTTAGGTTTAATTATAATTGATGAAATCAATATGTTATTATGATAGTTACTCATTTATTCTTTTTTATTCAATGTTCAAGTGAGTTGGACTTA